AGGGTCAGGCATGTCAACGAAGGCTTGGAAACCTTTTCTTCAGTTAAATTCAATTATTTTCGAATCTAGATGTACCTCTTAACACTTTTTTTTGGGTGAATGAAATTACCACCTCAAATCAGAGGCTTACAAAGTTAGCAAACTGAGACCCTCATTCCATTAGACGGTGCTTCCTTCCAACTTCCTATCCTACCTGACTATATCTCAGATGCTGCGTACAAATCGCTCTGGATGAAGGTATATGGATTGATTCAAATAGGGTCAGACAGATATAAACAAGCGAATTGAGTCATTAAATTATTATTCACATTTGGTTTTTGTCAAGGGACTTCCTTTTTTTGCTTTATATTCTCGTTCCGGCTTAGGGAAATCAAGTGTTTTAACACGAGGATTTTAGAGAAGACTGAACAAATTAAACAAATACGGAATGATAAGTGTTCATTAATTTGATTTTATTGTCAGATTAAGCCTCTTTTTCTCTTCAAAGCGTGAAGCTAAGCTATTTTCAACAGTCATCCGGTGGAAGTAGTTAAGTAAGACATGAATCAGATCACTTAATCAGTAGGATTCATTGAATTTCAATAATAGTCTGACGCATTCGCAAAGCTTTCACCAATAAACAGCACCTCTGCTTTCAATGCCCTAGGAGTACTTTGTGGAGGTATTTAGAACAAGAATCAAACCTATATTAATTTAGGATGAAGACCTACTTTCATCGACAACTTTCTCCATGGGCAAGTTTTCCATTTCTGATAAATATCCCAGATACGCAAACACAACGAAGCCTGAAAAGAGGCTAGTGAAACTGTTCACTCCGGCGGCTATTAAGCAGTCTCTATATATTTTATTGTGGAAGTCATTATAACTGGCATAGGCCACGTGCACGCCGAACCCCACTCCGATGGAAAAGAAGATCTGTGTCGCGGCATCAGTCCAGACCTGATCAGGAAAGGAATGGGGAAAAAAGAGACAAAATATAAGGTAAAATTGGTTGAGAAATAACCCCATCCAAAGGCTAGGCCATTCGTCAAATCCAGATCTCTTCTGGCCAAGATGCATTAGCATAAGATTTTGAGCACCAGCGTCGTATCTCTCTTTGAG